TTAATATTATATTTCACTACGATACATTACGAAGAATACTTTAGAATATTTTGCAAAAGTGTTTAAACAAAGTGTACTAGAAAAAAATATGTACGAATCTAACCTAACAAATAAGTAAAATATTAAAAACAAGATGTAAAATATAACTCGAAACGCTTGAAACACATTAGAACTCTTAATAAGAAATTGCAAAGTGATATTTAAAAAAGCCAAAGATAAATAATAATTATGTTATTATTATGATAGTAAAAGAATGTAAAGGAACGTAACAACTCAAAACAGATAGTTATACGTGTAAAGAAGACGACGACTGTTCTCGTCGAAACCGGTTTTGCAATTGTTGAATAATCAAAGTGCAAGATGTACCTATATGTGCTCCCAGAGTGCGAAAACTAGATTCACGTACAGGTGTCTATTATGTATTCGGAAAAGTGTTATTATTAAATGTGATCGACTGAAGAAATTAGCGAAAGTGATATAAAATTATTTCTCTGAAACATGTGTTTGTAAATTTTGTTTAGACTTGCTGTTTAATCGCGGGTACACATTTTATAAGACACATTTGCTATTGAGTCCATATGCAATATCTCGCGTTATTATTATATCCCAAACTCTGTTTATTAATATGAAATATCCTCTGTTTCGTTTGAATCTCAATATGGATCTTAGTAATAATATCCCAATTGATTTAGTATGAAAAGTTTATTTCTAGATAAAGTTGTATGTTTGGAGAGGTTATTAAACTTGAATTTTTTTAAAAGTTCTTTTAAAAGATTAGAGTTTATTAAGCTGATTAATCCTTTGAGTGCAGATTGACCTGAAATATTGTAACGGTCGTTAATGTTTATTCCAACTGGAAAGTGAATGATGTTACAATAACGAAATTATTTAATCTAATCTACTTGTGACGTATTAAACAGGTCACAGTTCATTGTTGAAGCGTTTCATCCTCCTTCGAAGAGTTTTCAGCAAATAATACAGTTCTAAAGGAATAAAGGACTACGAGCCGTGACAGGGTGTTAGTGCCTAAATATTTTATTCCAAATTGATTGCCAAAAAGTATCACTTAGGCCAGGGTTGAGCCGTACCAATTTTATTATATTAATTTGATAAATACAGTATTCAATAATAAGTGCAAACAAATATAAGTTTTTAATTCAGTTTTGTCCAAATTATCGAGAAAATATATTTGGAATAAAGAAATTTATCGTTAATACGAATTGTTTATTGATGAATTTATCATATTGCCGCATTGTCACGGCATATTTATAGTATTTAAAATTTGTTTTGAAACAAACATTTTTTTTAGAATGATTAATAAGTTTCTGTTCTTGATGAAAAAAGTCGATAAAGCTAATGTTGCTACCACTTTGAGTATGGAAATTATTTTGAAATCGTTTGAGATAACAAAAAATTCGTAACTAATTAAAACGTTTTTTTAAATAAAGATTGATAGACAACATGAATTTTTATTATTTACAGAATTTCACAAGATGGCTAAGATTTTTATCTTAATTGCGTTTCTGCCGCACTTACTATGTACCATAATACAGAGAAGAAATTTGTGTTCGGAATACTTCGCAATTGCATTCAACCCTGAGACAGGCAAGATATTTGGACGGATCGAAGTCTTTGCTCAACCAGAAAATGACGAAATTTTTTTTTTACAAGTAGCCTTAAATGCTTCCGTTGATTCTATGGTATGTATAGTTTTTAACGTTTTTAAGAATGCATTAATACAGGAAAATTCTAATAAATTTTAACACTTTGCTCTGAAACTTTTTAAAAATAAATTTTTCGAACAAGAATCATACAGTTTCTGTAAATAATGCCGTAAAATAATTGAACAATTTTTAACCTTAAGCAAGACATATTGAAATAATAAAAATACAGTTTAACAAAAGGTTTATGTACAAAATAATTTCTCTTCTGTATATGTGTATTGAAATATATAAAATAAATTTTTAGTAGAGGAGGAGATGGTATATAATATGGACTGTACTGACAACGTCGACCTCCCCAATGTCTTACAAAATATTAGCTGCACTTTATAGATTAGTATAGATAACTGCTGAAACGTGATTATTAGGTTACCCTTTGATATAGAAAAACGTTTGGGTCACGAACTTTTTGATAGCTAGAGAATAAAATATTATATTTTTGACTGTTCGTGATTAATAGGTAACTTTTAGTACCAGACACTTTAGGTGTATAATATTTCTACACATGGCATTTAAGAATATTTAGTCCTCTTTATTTTTCTGTAAGTTAAATTGTTATTGTACAAAATAATGATGTTTGCATTATGGACCCCCAAGGTAACCGTAACTTCAATTGTCTCACGTATAGTCCGTGGGTCCACAATGAGTACGCAGGAGCTGAGAAAAAGGAATAAATTTGCGATTTTTGCCAAGTAAGGATAAAAATTATTTTTTTGTTCCCTTTTAAAATGGTTCTTTACTTAAAAATTATTATTTCAAATAATAGTGATTTATTTTCCCCTGTGTATTCCTTTACAACATTTGTTTTAACAATCTAAATACTGTGTTTAGAAGTTCTTCTGTTTTCTTTTCGCTTTCCACACTCAAAAGGAAGGGAGTTTATATTACCAACACATTACGTGTTATTACTCAATTCCTGACTGCTTTTTAATTTTCTTTACACAACTTTACTTGTAAGTGGAGAGTTACGATTTCAAGCTAGAACTGAATTGTCAACAGAATAAGGAACTTAACATAACAGAATTGAAAAAATTGAGCTTACAGTTTACGAGAAATCACTTAAAACACAATAGGGTTCCATATTACCATCTCTTCTTTTATACATAAACATTATTAACACAAAGTGAAAACTATAGTTTACTCGTGATTTAAATCAGGTGATACATCCAGAAATAATGTACAAGTTTTACTTTAAACTCTTATATAATCTGTCAATTTTATAAATGATTAAAAAAATTTAACTATTACCACCTTGCTAATGTTGGTCGAAAACAGAACTGAAACATTTAATTTATAATATTACAAGCATATAATAAAATATAATTATAATATAGGCATAAATATGCATCTTATATTAGCAATTAAAGATTATAACGTTAACTTATGCATTGTTTGATGCGAAATGCACTCCAAACCTACCTTTTTACTTTCATTATTACCTACATTAACGAGTCCTTAGTTATTTAATCATTTATTAGAAATAGCTTAATTATCGTTATGTTTTAGAGAGGGACATTTCGATTGGAATTGGCACGTTCGATAAATGAGACCATTGAAGCAATTCAAAATGGCAAACCTTTGTTGTATCATGTTATCATGTTGTATCATAATTTTCCCGTGACCGTCAATTTTCCGATCGTATCCGCGATATGGTTCAACTATCAACAATATTGCCACGGCCCCGGAGGTGAGTACCGTATTCGCTTGCAATACAATATAAGTGTTACACACATTCCAGGTGATAGACGCGAGAATCACCGTCATTAATTTTTTCGGGTCACAAATCATGAGTTTAATTTTTATTTGCATCTAACTATGTGGAATTTTAAAATTATATGGTGAAAATAAATGGTAAGATAAAGTTGTCATAAACAATCACAATTTCGTTTCTATTACGTACGTAATTTTCTATCTTTACACATATATTTTTTATGTAAAAACAAGATCTCCTACTTATTTATATTGTTTCGAAATTATTTTTAGTCTCGGAAAAAGCTATACTTATATATTATGTTTCATTTCAGGGTCTAGTGGAAGTTTCGTAGCCAATATCGCGTTGGGGCATATGGTGTACCCTCCGAACAAAGAACCACTGTCGCAGGATTTTCAATCGTGGCACCGAAATACAAGTCGCTACCGCATAAACAATCCAGTTTTTTACAGCAGCACCGAATGCGGTGTTGCCAATTACGACACTGAAGGCAAAAATAAGAGGCTGATATTTGATGAGACTTCATCACCAGGCCAGTGGCCGTGGATAGTTGCAGTCTACCATGTTGAAATAGAAGAGTTAGAGACAACATACTCCTTTAAATGTGGTGGTTTTCTGTTCACGAACAGACATGTATTAACAGGTATGTTAATAGAGAAAAATCTATATTTCCATAGTTCATATATCGAACTAAGTGAGTTTCTCGTCTTACATCTACTTTCTTGCATGTTTATAGCAAAATTTTAATTCGTACCTATTCGTATTAAAAAACAGAATGGATTTCTTAATTTTCGACAGATATTCACAATTCATCGAAATATAATCAGGGAATGCATGATAAGATGTTTGGGATAATTACACAAATAGCTTACTATTTTCGCGAAATTATCTGTAATACATTCAATATGTCTCGTGATAATTATAGAAAAAATGATCTGGGTGCTGTATTAATTAAAATATTTCTTACAAATGTTTTATATACATTCATAAATATTCTTTGTTATACCAAATTAAGATACTTAATTTAATTTCGGAGTATCGCCTATGCGATACGGGAAGGGATTTACAGTATACCTCCGGATAGAAAGTATGGATCGTTACAAAATATAATTTCTGTATGTCTTTTTTACAGCGGCGCACTGTTTGAAAATGGACCTATTGAGCAACGATACAATAGACCCTAACAGGTTGCAAGTGGCAATGGGGCTATTGAGCTGGGGCAAATTGCACGGAGATGGAACTGTTAATCGGAATGTCACAATCTACAAAATTCATCCCAATTATGAGCATAATACCCACGGTGACTCCGATGTCGCGATTTTGACCCTCAGTGATCTCGTCGAGTTCAATCCTTTTATCAAGCCTATTTGTCTATGGTCCGGTTTTAATTTAATTAATCCTGTAGACCTCATCAATAGAACAGGATATATTGTGGGATGGGGTGAAGACTCGACGTCTTTTGGTTCTATTGTAGAAAGACAACCGGTGCCGGCGAAGATAGTAAGTCAAGTAAGTAGTTAATTGCTATTCTAAAATTACTATTCATTACATATATCTGTGACAAATGCATTTGTCAGAGTCATTGCGGGTCTCGAGGTGAATTTTGTTGTATAAATTGCAGGAGACCTGTCTCAAGGCTGATCGTATATACCGTAACCTCATCTCGGATAACACCTTTTGCGCTGGTTTGCTAGACAGACAGGGTCCTTGTAACAGTGGGAGCGGGCTGCTATTTTTAAACACTCTCACGGGTCGTTATGAGTTGCGTGGCATTGTTTCGCGATCTTTATTCACAATCAGTAAAACTCCGTCCTGCAATCTAGGGAACTACGTCGTCTATGTCGATTTGGTCAAATATGTATACTGGATTCATCAACAGTTATATTGAAATTTTAAAAACTCTTAAAGTTCTTCAAAATGCCACGTTGTCCCAGGATCACATAATTTTCAGGATAAATTTTAAGAGAAAATTCTCTCCGTGTGTGTATATTAAAAATATTTTTTTGGAAATATGTGCAGTTTGTTATTTTTTTTTAAGACACCGCTGATCGTAGCAATAAGTTGTGGAAAACTAACAATTAGTAAAAAAAGAAATAAAAGTACAGTCTATAAAAATTGCAGTAGGATGACGATCTAATACCGCCTACGTTCTCAATTATACCGTACCCGCTAAATTAAATAATTTGTACTATCAACATACGTACATACACGTATGCTAAATAAGTTACGGAAATACAGACATTATTATTGCCACTTGCAGTACATGATTTTACCTTATAAGTTCTCTGAAATTTTTTACTAGACGTTTTCTGATTGAGTTTTACTAGAATACACTAAAATCAAGTAAAACATCTTTAGTAAAATTTCTCTTACGCCCATTCAACAAAGGTAGTCAAATGTTAGAATGAAACTTTTCAATCGAGACTTAGCTTAATAAATGAACAGAAGGAGTGTATTGAATAATTGTATAAGATTTGGTAAACATTAGGCAATATTTAGTGGATAAGCATGTCATTGAAAAAAAAAACTCACATAAGTCTTCAGACTCTCTACTCATAGGTGAAACGGTGTCGAGCTAGCTAATTCGTTAGACGTACATATATCTGTGGATTTCCCAATTTTGTTCCTGCGAAATTAGCCGGAGAGAGAATTTCCAGTAATGTTTGTCCTCTATGTTTCTTCCTTGGGTTAAAATAGGATTTGTGTTCTACCTTCTAAACTAAATGACAGGGATCGACTTTATCAGCACTTGATTACTTTCAGTACTCTACGACTGCATTACTCTGACACGTTTTTATTATGATGAAGCGGGGAGTACAGTTGTTGCATAAGTGCATAATCTCGTGCATAGAGAGTTTGATTTCTCCATTTCCTTAGGCATTTGCTGCCTGAACCTATCAATTTTGTAATACATATGCTTATGTGCTCCCCGTTTAGTATAACCGGGCTTCGCTAGAGGTCTTATTAGTATCATCAAGATCCAGTGAAGCAGTAGCGTTGTAAATCCGAGGAGTAGAATACTAAATCAACCGTCGCAGTACTGAATTTCGCTTTAGACCAATAAGTACTTTATAATACTTTGCAAGAGTGTCTTAAAATAGTGTGCAAGGAAAGAATACGTATGAATAAATAATGAATAAGTAAGTAAGAGAGACCTTAAAGAGAAAATAATGGTAATACTGAACGAGAGGGGCAACCTTGCCGATTTGACTGCAACTTTGCAATATTGAGTATTTCGATGAGTAAAACACACCATATTGCAAAGTTTCAGTCAAATCGGCGAGGTTGCCGCTTTGTAAAGGCTCGTCTACACGACAATGCGTAAGGAACGGTGCAAGGGCGCAGGTGCATGCGTTGGAACTAAAAGTATTTTATTTCGTTTGCGCCGCTGCGCCACGCCCCTACGATCAGGTACAATCCTTTTGCGCCTGTGCCTGCGCTCTTGCGCCGCGCCTTACGCCTTGTCGTATAGACGAGCCGCCTTTAAAATTAAAATTGTCGCTCGGCACTAATAAGAGATTTACTAATAAGACAGCTATAGTACTAATAAGAGATCTACTAACAAACGAGTTATTAATTGTTAAAATATGCATTCCAGAAGAATATTCATAGAACTATGTGTGCTATCTGGGTTTATACAGAAAAGTAATTTTAAATGTAATAGATATTGAAGAAATAAGCGACTAAAATGATTTCTACCAAATATGTCAGTTTTATTGTGCGGTTCACAATTTCTTAACATTTAAATAAATTATCTGTTTATCGTACAAAGTTTTTTTTTAAGTATGTTAGTGAGTTTTCTCGCTCGAGTAGAAACTCGCATTGCCACTGTAGATTTGTAGTAGGGGAGACCGGGGCGAAGTCGTCACCTTTTTTTCGATGCCGGTTTTTAACAACAAAATACATAATTTTAGTGAAATGTGGTGTACCGTTGTAAAAAGTGAATCCTTGGCTATAATGTTTTCTATGTATTTTTGGTCTACATCGCTTTGTTCAATCGGTATAGAGTAAAAATGACAAAGGTGCAAAAATTGAAATGTCAAAATTTCCGGGGCGGAGTCGTCACCCCTATGGGGCGAAGTCGTCACTCCATTCTCGGACTAGATTTTAAATGAAACTATATAATATGTGACAAAAGGCTCGTATGATATAAATCAGAATCGAGGAGAAAGGGCTCTGAGCCGTGACGAGATGTACGTGTCAATTTATAAAATAATTTATTGTTAAACTAGCATAAAAATTTTTACCAATTATAAAACCTTTTACCAATTATAAAACCAATGTATATTTTTCCTTACAGCTCATTGTGGTACATTACCTTTATATCAACCTACGTTTTTTTATAATGTTTACACGACATGCGTTGCAATATGTTAACCGTCACGACACTTTATAAAACTATTGTATTTTACTGAAGATGGTCTAAAATTCGACCGAAACGTTTAATTCTTAATTTTTATGCTAGTTTAACAATAAATTATTTTATAAATTGACACGTACATCTCGTCACGGCTCAGAGCCCTTTCTCCTCGATTCTGAAACTATATAATTTCGATCATGAAATACGATAGAATACATTTTATTAATTATTTTTAATAGAAAAATTTAAACATTTACATTAATTAACATTAGTTAAAAATACAATGAAAATAATTAGGAAGAAAATCATTTTTCTGTTTTATCATCACTGTCGGAATCGGACCACTCCTGCTTCCTTGACTTAGATTTTCGCCCATTGCTCGTTGAAGGCTGCGGTTGTAATTGCGTGACATTTTTGGGGGGCCGGCCTCTCTTTCTCGACGCAGTGGCAATAGTCGATTTTAGTCGTAACCGTGACGACTTCACCCCGGACACAGATTTCAACTTTAGTCGCTTATAAAATATTATAAATAAAGAAAACTGAAAAAACTTCACTAGATTCGTGTTCAGCATGCATTACTCTTTAGAATAACTTATCTCGAGATTTTAAGAAACAATAATATTTAAAATATTAAAAACTTTCGATGCGGAAAAAAATTCACTTTTGATTTCTGAAAATACGTTTGTTGTAATAAAAATTATAACATGATATATAATTTTACTAAATTCCGTTGATTACGTAGACATCATAAATAGCGTTTATAATATTAACAACAAATTTATATGACATATAGATTTCGAGATAACTATAGTGACGACTTCGCCCCGATGACGACTTCGCCCCTGTCTCCCCTATTTCTTAGGACATATAAATTTTTGTTTCTTTTGTAACAGGAGGACTCATAATATGTATAAGATTTTTATTTTATTCGCGTTGCTGCCGCATCTATTTTGTGCTGAGACACCTGGTAGAACTTCGTGTTCGAAATACTTCAAACATACAATCGACCCTGAGACAGGCAAGATATTTGGACGGATCGAAATTCGCCATTTTCTGTTAGAAAACGAAATTTATTTAAAAGTAGCCTTAAACGCTACCACTCTGGTAAGTATATGTTTTATACTTTCAATATTAACAAGAGTGCAGAAGACGTTGGTATAAGTTTGTAGCCATTAATACAGGCAATCTTTAATACTTTTAGCACACTAAAGTCTTTCAAAAACAAAGTTTTCTACTGAGGACCGTACAGTTACTCTAATTAGTATTGTAAAGAAATAAGACTACTTTGAGCCTTAAAATGGGTATATATTGAAACAATATACAAGTATATATACGTAAGAAAATGATTACACAAAATAATTTCTGTTCCGCATATATTGAAATATGTAAATTAATCGTTTAATATATCTAGTTATTGTTAAAACAAAGTGAAAAATATAGTTTACTTGTGGTTTGACACAGATAATCGGGGATTAATGTACAAGTCTTATTTCTAATTTATTTCCGTATATAATATTAACTCGAAAGTAAATTTCCGCGTTGTAATTACATTGTACTCTCAAAGCTTACTTTCAACTGTGACGGTTAATTTCGTTATTAAGAAAACTTATCGTTAGTCATTTGTCCATTTATTAGAAATAGCTGAATTATCCTTGCGTTCTAGAATGGGTTATTTCGATTAGAATTGGCACGATCGATAAAAGAGACCATTCGAGCTATTGAACGAGGTAGACCTTTGCTTTATCATATTAATTTTCCTTCGGACGCAAACTTTCTGATATTATCCGCGATATGGTTTAACAAGCGTCAATATTGTCTCGGCCCCAGAGGTGAGTAACGTATTTGATTAAAATGCAGTACAAATATTACATACCTATAAGCGAGGAAAAAGAAGCGAGTAATACAGTCATTAATTCTTTCCAGTTAAATGAAGTTAATTCTTACTCGCATCTGTCTACACAGAAGTTTTAACCTAATATTGTAGGAGATAAATAGTAAAACTCTTATTAAAACAATCGCTATTTCCTTTGTATCATGTTTATCATTTTCTACCTTTAGATAAAAAGGATTTTACTCTTATTTATTTATTTGGAAATTATTTCTATTCTCGGAAGAAAAGGAAACTTTTTTTATACTTTAAGTTAATGTGCGATTTAAGGGATATGTTTTGTTGCATCTCAGGGTCAAATGGAAATATCGTAGCCAATATCGAATTGGGGCATATTGTGTACCCTCCGAACAAACCACTGCCGCAGGATTTTCAGCCGTGGCATCGAAATTCGAGTGGCTACCGCATAAACAATCCAAATTACAAAACACACGCTGAATGCGGTGTTACCAATTACTACACCGAGGGCACAAATAGTCTGATCCCCAATGGTGCAATGGCATTACCAGGTCAGTGGCCGTGGGTAGTTGCACTCTTTCGCACTGTACAAACAGATTTGGTGACACAACGTTACTTTAATTGTGGTGGTTCTCTTCTGACAAACAAACATGTAATAACAGGTATGTTAATCGAGAAAATTAAATATTTTCGTAGTCCATATATTGAACTAACTATATGTGCTAGTTTCCAGTCCTACATATATTTTCTGGAACGTTTATAGTAAAATTTTAATTTTTAACCATTAATATTAAAAAGTTGCGAGGGTGGCGCAGAGAAATGTGCGCTACTTAGTAAACAAATGAATGAAAAGATCCGAGTATAAATCTAGCCGCGGAAACCGCTGGTTTTTTTTTGATACCATCTCTCGGGGCGAAGTGGCAACAACAAGAGTATCTTGTCACACATACTCCTTTAGGGGTGCAGCACTTCAGGTTTCCTTCGGCACGGTTCAGCATTCTACTAAAGATGTAGTAAAACTAACTGCTCAAAGTATAAGTTTCTGTACCAGAATGAACTGGAAAAAACAGGCTTTAAACCTAATACACAAGGAAAACAATATTACGAAAAGAACGGATTTCTTAATTTTCGATAGATATTCACAATTCATCGATATACGTATATTATATATA